CTCAGGGGCTCTGTCAAATTCCAAATTGAAGTCTACCGACACTGCTTATGTTTTTGTGTAGTCATAATGTGAACCAAAAAAAGTGGATCACGTCTCCCATATTAGGCAGCTTTTTTTCTGCTTCTATTACTTTGACTGGATGGCTGGCTTTAAAATAAATTGTCTTCACAAATTAATATTCATGAGTAGAAACGAGGAAGAACAAAAGACAAATGGACAATAATTGCAGCCTCTCATTTCCAACAAGCCTCCTTCTACAGTATCAGATTTAGAGGGGGCGGTTGCAAATCCTCTCTGCCGTTCAGCAGCTGCCTAATTTTATAAACTATTAAAATGAGACCAAAAAATAACAGAGCAAACTTTTATTATGCCCTGCAAAAACCAAAAAGCCACAAAATCCTTTTTTTTTTCTTTTAGAAAATATTGAGCATATTTTATTGCTTATGCAGAAAATTATGATTCGTACCGTCTAGCCATAAACCGTTCTTTCGATAATTCAAAATATAATTTTATTACGTCTGTGCAAAGACAAAACAGCCATAATTTTGTGTACATTAACTCCAAGGACTTTAGAGGATCCGTCAATCTCCAAATTGAAGTTTGACGTTTTTATTTTCGGGTAGCCATGTGCAGCACCAGAAGTGCGCTTCAAAAGTTAGATTATGTCTTCCATATTATTTGTCGAGGCAGCAACCAACTTCCAATTGAGCAAGCAGTGATCAAACTCCGTTTTTGTGCCGTAGTGTGGTTAGGGTTTGTGACTCATGATCAGAGGGTCAGGAGTTCGAATTCAGGTGCTGGCCATTATGTTGTGTCCTAGGGCAGACTTCATCCACGCTTGCCTCTCTCCAACCAGGAGTATAAATGGGTGCCGGTATTAGCTGTGGAGTAACCTGCGATGGACTAGCATCCCATCCAGGGGGAATAGAAATATTCTCTGAAACCGGAGATAAATGCCGGCGCTGTCCATGGCCCAATGGGCCACACTTGCTCCTGACAGACTTTACTATACAATTACTACTTTTTATCATCAAAAAAGTGGTGGGTAAATGCCCCCATGCCCACCCTCGAAAAAAGATAAATTGAAAATATGCTGGCAAAAGTACAGGTATTTGGGGGTTTTTTTTGGGGGGGGGGGCGAAATGTGCATTACCCCCCTCTAGAAAAAATCCTGGCGACGCCCATGGCATTCGACGTGGCAGTCCCTGGCAGGTAGGTGTGTGTGTGTGTTCCATAATTATTTGAACAATAATCTAAAGTCTTTATTCCCGAACAACAAAGTTTACCGTACAGAGGAGCCAGTTGATTGGCAAAGATCCATTGATCACGCCCCTTCGTTTTAGCTAGGAATGTGATTTGCCAGGACGACCGTCATGACGAGCTGTCATGAACCGTCATGACTAACCGTCCAAAACGAAAGAACGCTTCTTACACCCACATCTGATGACCTCAAGTAGTGATGGTGGTGCTGGCGGTTTGTCCGTTTGTATGGGAAGATTATTATACGGCATTTGGCAAATTTGGGAAACATAGGGACCTAGAAAGGTACCCAGGACTAGCATAATGATGAAATCAATGTAAAAGGACAAATTGTTGTTTAAAGTACCCCAAAAAGCAATGTAGGACGAGAGTTATGGCAAAATCAATATGAAAACTAGAGGTTCGCGTTTGTTGAGTTACAAACGCAGAGTGGTCGGGCTGACATATTTTCTTGTGTTTACAGTGACTTAATCATAATTGAACTGCACATTACCCCTCCCTTTACCCTGCATCCATTACCCTGTGTTTTTCACAAAGAAAATCACAGAACCTGCAGTTGAACTTGTTGCTACCTTGTTAAGACTTGTAGGCCTATCAGGAAGCGCACATCTGGTGCTACATGGATGGCTACTCAAGCATACAACCAGTTGGGACTATTGGTAGAGTTAACGAAGCCTCTAACGTGGTTGGAGTTTATGCAACAGAATTATGCTAATCTTAAAATAAAATGGCTGGTTTGGTGTTTTGTTTTTTTGTCTTTTGCATGGGCATAATAAAATTCTGCACTAAAGTTACGACATTGGTAGAATTGACAGAGCGTCTCACGTCGTTAAAGATTATGAAGCATAATTATGCTAATTTTAAGATAAAATTGCTTTTATTTTGTTTTTTTTCTTGGTCTTTTGCATGGGTATAATAAAATTCTGCGCTGAATTTACGACAACGGTAGACTTGACGGAGCCTCTAACGTCGTTGGAGTTTATGCAACATATGCTAAGTTCATCATAAAATGGCTTTTATGGGTTTTTTTCTTTTGCATGGGCATAATAAAATTCTGCGCTGAGTTTACGACAGAAAAGTTTGTGGCTACACGCTGTAGAAATATTAATTTTCAGCATTCAGATATGAGAGGAAAACTGGCGAGGTGCGATTTCAATCGGTTATGGCGAAAAATATCAGAAAATGGACGAGAATATTAGAATTGAATTCATGGTCAGAATCGGAATCGGTAGACTTGAGGGAGCCTCTATGACGTGTTTGGAGCTTAATATATGCAACATTTGATTATCTCAATATCAAAAATAAAAGGGCTTATGTCTTTTGCACGCATGGGTTTCCTAAATTTCTGCACTGAGATAACGAAAAAAAAGTTTGTGGCTACACTGTCGAACTATTAAATTTCTGCATAAAGGTACGAATTAAAGAATCAGTGTTGATATGCGAGTTACGCCGAAAGAAATCAGAAAAAAGAATATTAGTTTTGAATGCTTTGTGTGATTTTGTACAAATTCCTGGATCCTCCCCTGGGTTTATTCTTATAAGAGCTGTGATTTTGCAGTCCCTGGTGAACAAATATGATGAAATTATGTGGTAGCAGTACTGTTATTGTAAGCAGCCGCTTTCTTATTTGTTCCAACAAATATAGTAAAACGTAGTAAAATGTAGTAAAATACTTCCGCTTCCTAGTTATATTCTGTTTTTATTGCACTTCCGGTAACACCGGAAGTAAAGGTCAAGCGGTTTCGTGTCCGGGAACAAGAAATGTTACTCAAGGCATAGTCTACAACCTCAAGAAAAAAACGAACACGATACTCTACTGAGTTCAAAAGTATAGCTCAAACTATTTTGTCAAAATTTGCCCTTCCATCACTTTGCCCTTACATTACGTCATGATGACGTAACCAAATTTATAACATCTTCGTAACATAGTACAAATTCACACTAGGTTTTATGATCATCCCGTAAACCGTTCGGAAGAAATTTTGCTTTGTTTTAATTTTAGGCTTAAGTCTTCATTTTGAATTCACGTAATTTTGACCTTCCGGTAGACCCGGAAGTAAAGGTCAAGCGAGTTCACGTACACGACAAAAAATGTTTATCAACTAATGGTCTATCTGATTGCAAAGTTGAAACGTAATTGATCACTTTGTTTAAGAGTTATAGGTGAAAGTATTTGGCCCATTTTTTTCTCTAAAATCGCTTGTAATTTGACACCCAATGACGTCATCATGAAGTCAGAAAAATATGCACCACTTGGGACGAGGGTCGATATATGGTGAAAGTTACAAGTTCATACCATATACTGTTTATGAGAAAATCCGTGGAAAACTTATTGTCCGGAAAAAAAGAAAGAAAGAAAGAAAGAAAGAAAGAGGATTAATCGCAACAACTCCAATCAGTGGTCGGGTTGTGCCCGACCACTCAATCATGGTTTAAGTGGCCATTTTGAATTTATGCAAATTAGGCATATTTCCACCACTTGGATTTTTGGACCTTTTTTAGGGGCCTTATAGAAATGCATTGTGGTGTGATATTTAGTAAATAACTGAACTTGGATTATCAGGAAAATTCAATTGTGACATGTCCACACATGACAGCCATAATTTTAACTTTAATTTATGCAAATTAATATATTGCATTTATGCAAATTATTATACGGCATATGGCAAATTTGGGAAAGATGGGGATCTTGAAAGTTACGTAGGACTAGAATAATTATGAAATCAATGTAAACGGACTACAATTGTCGTTTTAAGTACCTGAAAAAGCTAACGAATATAAGAAATATGACCAAATCAATGTGAAAGTCAAAAAATGTTCGGCCATTTTTGATTTATGCAAATTAGGCATATTTCCACCACTTGGATTTTTTTGGACTTTTAGTATGTCATTTTAGGGACCTTATAGAAATGCACCGTGGTGAAAAAAAAATCTGTTGCAATTTGTTTGAGGTTCACTCAAAAAATGAAGTATTTTGCCTGGACTATATGGGCTTAACGCAACTTTTGCACCACGGTAAAAACCGTGCGCGCGTGTGCGTAGTGCGCCCACGCTTGCACGCGCTTCGCCGAATAAAAATAAATACTAAAGCCCTGGTAATCACTGTCCTCCACTACATTTCTTCGTTCCGTACGTTCCATCAATCTGGATTTCAAACTGGTTGCATTCTGAAAAAGCTAGCGGGCTCCTTCGTACGTTTTTTTTGTTCAAGGCTATCGCGGAAAAAGTCGAGGGGCCCCGGCCCTTTTAGGGTTAACAGAGCGTGTCTTCAGCACTTTGCAATCGAAAGGAGTACTCGGAAGAAGAAAACAACATTCATCAATATTCTATCATATACGATTAAGGATTTCTGGCACAGTTGTATAAGAGTCAATCACAAGTCAATCGCAAGACAATCACAAGCTATGTTACAAATTACACGGGTGAGCAATGATCACGTATGCCTTCTCATATATCCAGAGCAGGATACTTGAAGCCAGGACAGGATCTTAAGCAGCCGTCAAATCACTTTAGCATGACTTACACACTGCCGGATTTAGGACTTTTAAGAGGCTGTGGCTCAGACTTAAATTAATAATGATCTGAGAGTTGTTGAACTGAGAATTTGAATGACATAATTTCTGGAAAGAATGTTTAGTGGTTTTTTTTTTCAAATGTGGAAGGGTGGCTAGCCACGCCCACCGCAATATGCCTTTATTGTACCACACTGTATGTCAACACTACAATTTTTGACTTTTTGAATAAACACACTGATACGTTTTGACAAAACTGTGTACACAAAACAGCTTTCTGAAACTTTCGAATATTCTCATTGGTGTTTGAATACAAAACAGCTTTCTGAAACTTTCGAATAGTTTCATTGGTGTTTGAATACATTTAAAATTATGCATTGACGAAAGTAAAATGTACTTCCAGTTATCACTTTCTTGTACAGTTACGTCTCTAATTACATGTGTAATGTGTGTCCTACAGAAACAGACTGGTGCAATGTAAAATCGAAATTACAAACTTTCACAAAGAGTTACTAGCCTTGACTCAGTGATGGAATGTGTTACTTTGGTACAAGTGCAGAATTACCGTCTCTCTTATACTTGAATCCAGGACAGGATCTTCAGCATCTTCAGTTCTCAAGTCATCGTTATCTTGCCTGTGTATTGTTAAGGGCTCTCCTCTGGCTCCTGCTCAACATTTGGTTGGGCATGGGATGCTGTTGGCTGTACTCTGGGCGAAATGGTTGGCACCGATTCCTGGTCGTGTCTCCTTGCAAGGTTGGGAAAACACGGTTTGAGCAGAACTCTCAACCCGTTCTGAAACTGTTTGTACTTCAAGGCGTAGATGATGGGATTGACGCAGGTGTTCAGCTGTACCAAGATCACAGAGATGTAGTAGAAGGCCCCCTGGAAATTCAACGGCAGCCCAAAATTGAACATGAAGAAGGCGATCTGATTGGGCGTCCAGCAGATGGTGTACGTCACGAAGACGATGAAGAGGGTCTTCAGCGTGTTACGTCGGGCGCGAAGCAGGGAGCCACTCATGCTGTTCTGCCCTTGCTGACTGGTTGATGGCTCGGGGTGGACGGTAGACGAGGCGCTCTTCAGCTGAAGGATGATGTGGACGTAGCAGAAAGTCATATAGATCAACGGGATCAGATACTCAATGAGGAACGTAATAGTTCCAATTGCTACGCTGGCAGCTCTCGACAAATTTGCAAATATACAAGTTCGGTCCTGGATCTCATAGAGAAAAACATTGTTACTCTTATAAACAAAAGCAAGTACCCACACTGTAACAAGCATGGCTGTTGCTCGCTTTCTGTCGAAATACGTCAGGTACTTGAACGGGTACACAATGGCAACGTAGCGCTCTGTCGTCAGCACTACCAGGTTGAGTGTAGAGGCGACAAAAAAGATCCACAAAATGATCGCGGATCTCCATACAAAGCATTGGAGGAATGCCACAGCTGAATTGGAGCTCACTGCCGGCGGTATTTGGAGGTTGTTTTGCAGAATCATAAATAAGGACCCCAGGAAATCGATGACAGCCTGGTTGAAGATGAAGGCGTTGGTCAGGGTTCTCATCGCCGGCACTTTAGCGATGACAACGCAGACGACGGTGTTACCGAAGATCCCCACGACTCCGATGATGATCTTCAGAATTAGTGTGATAGTCGCAGCATCCATCTTCTGCCGTGTCACTGTGAACAACTTGCAACGTTTGCCTATCTGTAATTTCTGTACCAAGTACTAAGGGTATATTATCTATAGGGAAAAGCTGTATCTGCAGTTCGTGATGAACAAGGTTTTTTTCGGCTAAGAACCTTGAGTCCACAGTTTTGACCTGGAGCCTGAAACAAAATTTCAACTGATGTATGTTTTGCCAATGGCGTGCTATACCAACACTGTTTCTTGACGAAGTGGAGAGTAACAATCTGGTACTCGGTGTCTGGCACTTACACTGAACTTACGCCACTAGTCGGTTCGCTACTTATAGGTCGTGAAGGGCTATAGCAAAGCCTCAAATGATGTTCCTCGGCAACTAACGGAGGACTTGAATTAATCCACTTCAACTTGAGGGGAAAATTAGTCGGTCCAAAGGTCGTTTGGTTGTTCTCTATAAAATATTATGTCACTTGTTTGGTAAAAGCAAACGGCCCTGACAGGTTCGATCGGCTGATTGTCTCCAACTCATAACTGAATTCCAAGTGCATGCGCAGTCAAATTCTTTGATTTGGCTTTGTTCATTTTTGTAAATATTACATCAGTTGCTTTCAACTCATACGCTGCCTTTCGCAAGGAGAAAATTAAGAATTTAAAAGGAAACGAATCACCTTTTATTTTAAGCAGGACATACACTTGTTATTTAATTTTACCACAACCTCGCAATCCAGGCAACCTTCGAAGAACAAAAGTACTCCGGAAGGCAATCGGCATTTGCAAACAGAATTAAAAATTTCAGTCTTTTTTTGTTCAATAGTTTTGGAACACTCCCAAACAGGCCTTTTTTAAACCTCAAAGCAGTTAGGCCTACAGAAATTTCTCAACAATAATCAGTGTTCTATAAATCAAATAACGAATTATATATCTCCGAACAACTCTCTCTTCATACAGCGCGGTGCTGAATTATTCAGGACTATCAAATTTTGCAAAAAGTTCAACTCTTTTATCCTACCAATAAACAAAAATCATAATTCGATTACCGGAATCTGGGAACAACAAAGGTATAATCGGGATCGCCGCGTGTGCTGTGTTCTCTCTATCGAATTTTGCGAGCGAGTCAGTTCTGTTCTGTGCCAAACAAAAATCGTGATTCAATTGCGAATGTTATTTCCCTTGTCTTGTTATGGCTAACGGAACTTTCTTTTCTTTAACTATCTTTTGACCCGGTCTTATTTTTTTATTACATTCCCGGAAACTCGAAAACAAAACGATCTTTTCAAATAGGGCAAATGCTTGCTCTGCGATTTTGTGTTTGCTTTTACTCAACAAGAACAAAACCGGCTAAGATTCCGATGCTATATCTGAGATTTTAACCGCTATAAGCGTAAATTACACTGAATGATACTTGATTTCTCAAGAGGGACAAGGGCTGAACCAGGGAGGGAGCTACCGGGGGCCATGCCCCCTCCCCCCCCCCCCATACAAAACAAACTGGTCGAAGTGGTCAGCAATTGCCTCAGATCGCACCACAGAGCATCTAAAATCCAACAAATTTTCGGGGCCATTAAATTATTTTTCCATAAATCTGTATTTTAAACTGGTTGCATTTTGAAAAAGCTAGCGGGCTCCTCAGCACGATCAGGTCGAACGGGAGGCTTCCTGCTTCGGCTACTTCGATAGGGCCTAGATTCTTACGTTATGTAGACACCGTTCTAAAGTTCTGTTCACGGATCACACATAAAAAGGTGCGCGTTCTTTCAGCAAAACGAAAACAATTTCACACATCCTAATGTGAATTGTTTTCGTTATGCTGAAAGAACACTTACCTTTTTTTGTGATCCGTGGATAGAGCTTTAAAACGGTGGCTGTGTTTAAAATTCCGTAACGTGAAAACTACATGAGTGACTTGAATGATTCTTATACTAAAAGAAAGCTTATGGATTGGGCTTTCACATCTTATTTTGATAGTTTTTATAATTCCACATGCAGAATTTCATTTAAAAAAATTGTGCTGCCATTTGAGTTGCCTTTTTATACTCACCCTGTATAGATTTGTATTTCTTCCCAACTCTTATCTGTAGACCATCCGAAAATGGTGTCGATTGCGTCGACTGATTGTTAACCGAAATGGCATCAAAAACAAGACACCGAGATATAACAGCAACAATGAGTGATTCTTAACATGTTTGTAAATTTATTGCTATATGTAATGACTTACTTTGTTACCAAATATTTAACGTCCCAAGTCAAGCTTTTACTTTGCCTGAATTTACTTTGCCTGAATTTACTTTGCCTAATACTGTGATTAACACTGCGCAGTGTTTGCCCTGAATTGACTGTCTTCAAAGCAATCAAAATTCATTAATGTTGAGTCAAACACCGAATGCAGTTCAATTCCATGCCACATTCGTGTTTATTTGATTGTTCCAGAATCTGCTGTTATAGTAAATCAAATTATCTAGTGGTTTATGTTAGTCTGATTCACATTTGTTTTACCGAAAAATTATATTTATTTTGTTAACGTTACAGGGGTAAGTAGCCCACTAAAAATCTGTGATTCATGGTACCCAAATGCTATAGTGCTAATGTGGGTTTTGGTTTAACTATGGTGTCTCAGTGAATAGAATCGGAACGTGTGAGCCGCACGTTTTTACAGTTCTAATAAAGGATCTTTGATTCGTAAAATCGAAGCTATAGTGGTTACAATAGAAGACCTTGTTTCTTTTTATTATTTTACTTGGTAGGAAATAAAGCAACACAAGAGCAAAATACAGCAACCTAAGAGCAATAACCTAAACCATGCAACCCGACGTCTGTGGCTACAATAGTACAAGATCAATAAATGCTAAGTTAGGAATGCCAAACTCAAACAGATACATAAAAGGATGTACGGTTTCATTAATTTAATTACCATTTTGTTAAAAATGAGGTAGACGGGAAAGAAGATAATGTACTTTGAAAACGTCATACATGAATACTGCAGTTTTCAATAAATGCATATTGACATTTCCACCTGCTGAGCTGAGTTCGCGGAAATGTCAGACTTAGGGATGTTAGACTGGCCCCGCAGTGGCGCACCCAAGGGGTGGGGACCCTCGGGGGGGGGGGGGGGGTGAGCCTCCCTCCAGCCCCACTCCCCCAGGTGGTTGTCATTTTTAAAATTTGTTTCACGATTTGACCTTGTTGATTTGTATGTGGCCCATTTTCGAGTATAGCAGGGGTGTAAGTGGTGCAATAGGGGTGTAAGTGGCGCCACCAACGTCAAAATAGTCCGCCCCCTAAAAAAACCACAATTTTTTTAAAAAACAATTGCGAAGCCCCCCCCCCCCCCCCCCCCCGCCAAAAAAAAATTCTGGGTGCGCCACTGAGACTGGGGATGTCACTCTACTTGGGATGTCATTGTACTTGGGATGTTACTGTACTTGGGATGTCATTCTACTTGGGATGTCACTGTACTTGGGATGTCACTGTACTTGGGATGTCATTGTACTTGGGATGTTACTATACTTGGGATGTCATTCTAGTTGGGATGTCATTCTACTTTGGATGTCACTGTTCTGGGGATGTCACTGTACTTGGGATGTTATTGCTTCAATTTCACATTTTATTCCGTTACTTTAAATTATCGATGCCCTTCTAAATAACTTGATGAATTTCAATCAATCAAAAGGGTATTAATTTTTAAAATGAACATTGATGGAGTGAGTTGTTATGGACATGTTGAAAGAGGCGTCACGGGTCCTGCCACGGTAAACGTCGTGTTGACCACGTTGGACCCAACTTGTCTCTTTTGGTCTGGTTGCTGGCCGCCGCCGTACACCGTAAAGACCCCGGGCTCAAGTACCAACGCGTTGGTGAATACTGCCCTCACGCGGGCCGGTATGGTCAGGTAGTCGGTCACTTTGTTGTACGGGGTTGTCCTGAACCGGTTGAAAGCTGCCAGCTGGATGTTGGGCGTGGTCACAGATGCATTGTGCCATTTGATATAGACTTGAACAGTCTACAGAAAAAAACAACGAAAAACAGAGAGTATTATTTTTTTTACTATGTTCTCATGATTCAATATTCTTTGCACATTTCAAATACAACATTAAACTTGCACTTCGAGTGAGTTTGTTCGCGAAATAGGCATCACAATAGTTTGACAAACATCACTCGAACCCACGGACGGTAGTTGACCATTGTTGAATTGACTAAAGATCTTTCCTTGCCAAGGTGTGGTTGATACTTTGCACCAACTACGGGAGATCAACGTCTCGATGTTGGTCGTATCGCTGTTTACCAATAGCCATTATGGTGGACTTTGTTACGAAAACAGCGACCTCTCTTGTTAGACTGTGGCCAGGTCATTCACGAGGTCACTCGAACTGAGAAGTTGAACATGTTTGACCCTTCCATTGGTATAATGAAAATTTTCATCACAAGAAGTGTATCTGTGTCATTGATCTTTTGATCTCCGTCTTATTGTAACATCCTTTAAAGTAGACTTGATAGGGGCGCTATTTGGTGTGGTAACACCAAATATTTACCCAAAAATTGTATTTACCCAAATATCTACCGACTCCGAATACTAACCTTCAATTGGGTTGTATCCGATGTTCCCCAATACCTATGTTCCCCAAAACATGTATGTTTTACAGTTCCCCAAAATCCTTAGGGTTATGGTTAGATGGTTAGGGTTAGATGGTTAGGGTTAGGGTTGGGGAGCACAGGTATTGGAGAACATTGGTATGCACCCCCATTTGTTGTATCCACCCGCCATGCCACAGCAAATGGCTACAAGTACCTTAATAGGATAGCGTATAAGTGCGTCACCGAAAAACCGTACCTCATATGCATAGGAAGTCCCAGTGTTTACCAGTGTGACGTATACCATCAGGTTATCGCAAGGATGGATTGTCGTGTTTCCCACAGTGATGTTGATGTAATTGAATTGAGTGTACGAGAGGCCGTAGCCAAAGGGGTAGAGCGGGTCTCCAGTAAAATAGCGGTAGGTGCGATTGGTCATGTTGTAGTTGGTCATGGCAGGGACCTAATAAAGAGAAACAACAATTATTGTGTTACCCGAATCCATTGATGTGTTCTCACATTCCAAACTTGTTAGGTCATTTGTAATGATTGCCCCCCGAACAAAAAAAATATTTCAAAACATTTTGTAAATGGGCCAGAGACAAATATTCAGTATCTGCAGTTTTCATTTAAGTCCTTTGCGACTTTAGGAAATGCGGTCTGGCTTTTTTGTCATATGTTTTCCTGTCAAATTACATGTTGGATTTCAAAATGTTACAGGAAAATGGATCTCTAGAACCCTAGAACCTCTCGAAATGGTTCTGGTTGATGACTCTTTACAAAAAAAAACACAAGTTAAGTTGAAGTTCAATCAGTATTCTTTCATAGTATTCTATCATTTTTAGTCTAATAATGTCTTACAAAGCAACCGATAAGCGAATCGAGTTGTGATTACCTGGTCCAGTGACCTTGGCCACGTGAATGGCAGCTTCCCGGACGGACTGGCGTCTGTGGGGAATTGACTGTTGATCAAGACGTTATGCACAGCCGTACCCGTAGCTTGGGCAGGGTAGAAACACTCCATGATCGCGTGGACGCCTGTGCTGTTGTCAGCCCAGCCGATATCGAGCGGACCGCCGTTGAACAGAAGAAGAATCAAGGGTTTGCCTACAGCTGCAGTGTAAAGATTTAGTAGCCAAATTCATGGAACTGATAAGAACAGAAATTTTCCAGGGTGGTGCGGGGGGGGGGGGGGGGAATCCGCTTAGCAAAAAACCCAACAGTTGACCAGCCTAAATATCATTTCGAGTATGTTGCTGTCAAAAAGAACCCACAAGTGGGCTTTGTCACACTAGAACCCCAAAAGTTTTTGTAGGTGACGATTCTAGTTGAAACCAAGAAGATTCTATTTAAAATGTCGACTGGTTTCAATTGGAAATAACTGGTCTCTATGTGTTGGATTCTATACTACGTAGTATCAACTGGTAAATCAATTGGTATCAACAGAAACCAGCTGAAGCAAGTTAATAAACAGTTATCAACTAGTAATTCTGATGGAGTCATCAGTTGAACTGGTTCAACTCGTATTCCCATCTTGGTTCTCATGATTGGGATTGTTGTCTTGAAACAATTCCGCTCAGCACCACGATGTAATTGGACCCAGGTTAAAAAGGCAAGTATAGTGACAATAAAGGAATAAATAAGTTACACTTGTGATTAGTTTATTTCGTTTGTAGCACTATCCACCCTGACTTCAATCCCACCCCAACCCAAAACCTACATGTATACGAAGACCCTTAGTGTCTCCTTATTATGTTGCTATTGTTTGGAATTATTTTTTTTTCTGGACATGTTCCATATGGTTTTTGCACGAAAACCTCCCGAGGACTCTGCCTCAGGTCCTCGGGGTTATTGAAGGTAACCCATTGTCCCAGGTCCTCAGACGTATTAAGGAAAACAAGATCACAAACTATTTGTGTTGACAGGAATGCGACATACCATATTTGACAGCGTTCTGCAGGAGCTCCAGCTGGTGGCCAGGTAGGGACATGTTTCTCCTGTCGAGTCCCTCATTCTCCACCTGAGTCCCTAGACACAAAATGGTACAGCTTCATTAAACCTTGGTCACGTGACGGGTCATGTGAGGGCCTCAACAACACCAGTTGATAAAGAAACCGTTATGGTGTCGCAAGCTCCTGATACGAGCTCTGTAAACTCTTGTCCCAAAAGGGTATCTTTTATTTACTTCATTAATCTTGTTCCTTTGTGTTCCTTCCCCTAGTGTTCACTTAAATTGACTCTCAAGTGAAGAACATTGACTCTCATGAGAATCCGAAGGGATGGATTCTTTCGGCAAGCGGGCAGAGAAAGTCTGCTCACCAAACCAAGGTTTCAGCCTTTGCTTTGGTATATAGGAGTTATTGTCCCCTAACTTTAGGCGGAATGCGCCCAAACACAGGTCATGTTCTCCTTCATATTTAATTATGTGGTGCTAATACAGAACAATTGAAGTATTTCCAATACTTAATGCTTCAGTGTAAGGCAAACCTTTGGACTATTTCCCTTTGGGTATCATAGGACAAAATGGGCCTTCCAAATAATCATATTAAGGCAGAGTTGACGCCTACGCCGGAACCCAGTCGAGGTTTCGAAAACACCTGTACTCTAAGACCAAAAGGTGTCCAGGTATCTCTTAGGGCATCCTGTTGTTATGTATTAGATACATAGAAAGACTAGAATAACCATCGCACAGGATAGAATGACAGACAAAAGCAAGATGTTTAGCATCTCATAATTCAGCAAAAATAATTGCAAGAAGCTGTGAGACCCGGGAAGGGAAAGAAATACACTGTATTGTATTTGGAAGGTACAGCCATGAAAGGCTTGAGTTAAAACCATCGACCTGGTTGAATGATTTAGGCAATAAAAACTTGACCGTCACGTCTTTCCCCGGAATTGTACAAGCTTTTAGGGGTTATGGTAGACACAATAAGGGGTTCTATTTGGGGCTTGGGGTAATTTTGTGCGTGCTCGCCATATCTCAAAAAAGGCTCAGTACCCGTCCCAAGACACGCAATCACAAGATCAACTCCTGTCACTGCATCCATGACGGCCGTTTGGTTGTACTGGTCACAGATTGGGTTGTTACAGCCGGCTGCCAGCCGTTGAGACCTCCCGAGACGTCTCAACCCATCCCAGGGCGTTGAGATAAATTTGGGATCGGTTTGCGGTGCGTAGCTGCCAAAAAGGTCTTGGGGAGAATTGGCAAACGGACCAATTATCTAAGATAATGGATATAAAAGAAAGACAGGTAATGACAATATAATTCTTCTAACTTTTAGAAAACATTCGAGATGATATTTGGCCATTGGGTAAGGCCTATTTGCCACCTGGCCCCCACCCCCAAAAAATTATTCGGTGGGTTGCCAAAACGTCCCCCAAAACATGTCCTCAAACGTGGTTCCATCCCAACTGATTGGACCAAAACCATGAAGTGTTTCAATCGACAAAACCAAACAACAGAAACGCCGACTTACTGCGATTTTGTTAACACGACCAATCGGCAGCGTGTTGTTCGCATTCTTCAACAAGACGAAGGACTGTACGGCGGCCAGAACGGCAAAATTCTGATGCTGAAGGGATTCCACCTCCTCGGAGGCCTGCAGCCTGCCCCACGGATTCATCTCGGGCGGGTCGAACTCCCCTAGTCTCAGCCTGGTGTAGAAGAGCGGCCTGACCAGCTGCCGCAGCTCGTCCTCCGTCACGAGGCCCGCCTGGACTGCCTTGGTGAGGTTGGTGTAGACGTTCTGGGCCCAGTCAGCCTGCTCCAGGTTGCATCCGGCTTTCACGCCAGCCACCGCTGTCTGGAGAGGGGTCTGAGTGTAGTTGTGTTTGAGGAAGACGTACTCCAGGGCGTTCCGTTCGCTGACCACATATCCTTTGAAGCCAAACTCGGTGCGCAGGATGTCGGTTAGAAATCGCTGGTCTACACAGGCAGGAATGCTATCGATACTAAAAGGGGAGAGAAATGTAACGCTCAAAACATCGATCGTCTTTCATTTCCAATGATTCGCCAATGTTGTAGACTAATATTAGACCACATCCTTTCGGCTGATGCAGCATTGCTAATGTTGCAAGCATTATGACTTTGAGCCCCATAGAACACGATAGCACAGTTGATATAGGTCTCCGGTCGAGTCGAATTCCGTTTATAAAGATTTCTTTGTTTAACCATGCGTTAATGAAGATGTGCACTGATAATTAACATACGCACCTGTTGTAGCTGCACATAACACTGTAGGCCCCTGCTTTGACGCATTCACGAAACGCTGGTAGATATGTCATATACAGATCCCTCTCTGTTGCCTGCAAAGGACAAGGTCGACGTTAGTGGCGAGGCGCTTATTCCGTTAAACCCTGGACCTGTACTCCTGTTAGCTTGGTTCAGACCCTACCATACGTAATGTGAAGTTACTTTTTTCCCCGTTATGATACATATTTTTTTTGGAACCATTCTTTTTAATATATTTATCTTTGGTTTTCTTCTTCGTCCTTCCTCCACATCGTCCTCTTTTCGTGTTACAAACAACATCAGTGCCTTGGCGTTTTCAAGGAATTCATGATTTCGTCACACTCTATACCTTCCTCGGATACCCAGACCCAACGTTTTATTTAGCCTGACCCTTTTCCGGATCAAAAATGACACTTTTCTGGGTCAAAATGATGACCTTTTCAGCCAAGGTTGTTTTGGGGGAAAACGACAAATAGAAAGTGTCACTTTTGAGCCGGAAAAAGGGTTTGGCAAAAAAAAAACCGGTTTCAGACCAGGGACTTTTTAAAGTGCACAAAAAAAGTAGGGAAAAAAAACATATTGAAGCAGTTTCCAAAATAGTTTCATTTTTAGCTCATATCTTAAGGGTTAGCTTCTATCTTAAAGAAACGGCATTTAAAGGATATTACCCTTCTCGGACATATACTACATTTTCAAACAGAAAACTCCTTGCCCACTGGCTACGCACATTTCCTTTTTGAATAATTAACCTAGAGAACGAGGGCAGGCAAGAGTTCCTTTTCTTCCAAGACTTTCTTTCTTCCCTCTTATTTTGCTTCCTCCCTCGCCCCGAAAAATTTGGGTCAGGATCCACCAGTGCACGTACCCCGGCATTGAAGGTGTATCTGGAGCTGGGGTAGTCCTCTGGTCCGCTGTAGACCGCGAAGTGTTTGCATCCGGCCGCCGTCCGAAGGTACCGGGCTGCTGGTCCTTGCAGCCCCTGCAAACCGTTGACGAACGCCTTGGCCATCTCGCCGGTCAAGTAGGGATCCTCACCGTATGTCTCCTGGGTGAAAAAGCACAATATTTTGACAAAGATTGAAAAACTTTCGTGTTTTTTTTTAGTTGCCGCTTCTTACTTAGGACTAATCGAGTCCATTGAGGATCAATCATGTTGGGACAAAATGTCTGTCATGGTAGTGGTTCCAATTGTTTACATCGTTTAGAAATAGGGACATGGGGCCTCCGAACAAACTGTTCCGGATAATAAACAGTAAATTAATTCATCCGATGTCGTTTTCTGGCCATTTTTGTATCCCATATCTCATGATCCACATGGGCTAGTCTGTTTACGGTAACAATTAGACCCAATCTGTAAGGAGCGCGCTCTCGATGTGTACTAAAGTTTTGGAGTTTGAAAGTGAAGTTTCAAAATGATCGTATTTTAACCAGAATTAATTCCTGGGCTGAATTCGGACTTAATGTCCTTTTATACATAAAATACTTCAATTTGCGACGAATCAACACACCTTGGGAAATTCCTAGTTTTTGAGTAAAATCTTTATATCTATTTCGTGATAATCATGTGGAGACATGTGGAGATGTATACAATCTTTTGTTCCCTATTGTGCACAATCATGTCTTCACAGGTTGTTACAACTGATAATGTAGTAACCAACCGATAACGTATCACCAACCGATAATGTATCACAAATTGACCGATATTGTATCACTAACCGATAATGTACCAAAAATTGACTGATAGTGTAGTAAAATTTGTATCCGATAATGTATCATGTGTCGACGGATAATGTAACTACAAAATAAGTGTATCCGATAATGTATCACCACGGAACGGATACTGTATCAACCGATAATGTATCAAAAATCAACCGATAATGTATCAGTATTGGGAAAAGGTGGAAATATTGCAAATTAATTAAAGTCTAATAAGTGCCTTTACTATGATGAGTCCCCACTCGAGGAAGTTTATCATTAAGAATATTTTTTTTTAATTTGGGAGGTAGGAAGTTGCTGTGGTTTGGGGACGCTCTACTTCCAAGTGGGCCTAGGCTAGTGGCGTATCCAGCTTTTGATGTCGGGGGAGGGGGGGGTTACCGCACTCGCACATCCGCGCCGAAATGTGGACAAAATCTTTTTTCCGGACATTTGACCTCCATATGGGCTCCGTGCTGCGACACAAGAGGGCGCGTTTTACCACTTTTGAGAGCCCCATGGACGTACGTACGGGACCATTGATCCCCGTATGGAGATCAATGGACGGGACACAGCATGTGCGTACTGTACTGTACTGGTTCGCCCGCAAAGTTCCACACCACTTCCAGAATGTGCCAGAATGTGGCTATTAGCAGCAGTGTCTTCGCATGAGCGTCAGGCAACGTCGGCGCGCGCATACGTTCAATTTAACTTGCGATGGTCTCCCAGACTATTCCCTCTCCCAATAACTTTGCATCATTCAAAATACGCGCTGTGGATGAACCGGGAACACAGTGGCGAGGCATGTGTATAGCAAAACTACCATCTGAAATGATCGTGTAACTTGAGCTGTCACAAAAGATACAATGTAACAAGTTTACCGGATTTAGGCGGCAATCGTCGATGATAGTGTAGATGCGATCAAGCTTCATGGGTCCCTTGTCGTCCCCAGTCGATTTTTTTCTTACAGATTTGAAAAGGGCACAATCACAGCATTACTGCTCATTTAGTGGGGGGATGAGGGGGGAGGGGGATGAGGAGGAGGGGGGTCGATGAGGGGGGGGGTCGTGCCATATTTTCAACGGGGAGCGCTGATAAAATCCTACAATCATGTACACAATATTACTGTACCGTACAAAATAATGCCTCGGCTTTTTTAGGGGGGGGGGCACCGTTTGCATGTGACGTCATTTGTTATTTGTCTACCCACTGACTTCAGTTTCTTGAACCCATACAGTTTGGAGTCCAAACGTCACGAGCCTGCCGTTTCCTTGATGCCAACACAGGCGCGGATCCGGGGGGGGGGGTCCCAGCTGTGTCCCAAAACAAGTTGCATACAAATTCCTAAAAAAAATAATGCAACACCCCCCCCCCCCCCCTCTGCTGTGACATCCCCCCCCCCAAAAAAAAAAATTACTGGTATAATGTCCGCCTGTTCAAAATGCGGACGGAGGCAGCTTAGTTAGGGGGTATTTTTACACCATTCTGTAATCCAGTGTTAATAATTGTCAAATTTGAACAGCGTCCCCTATTGAAATATGATACCCCCCTTCCCCCAGTTTTCGGAGGCCAAGTGTCCGGAAAGAAAATCCTGTGTACATTTTCAGATTGTTTTGCTGATGAACCCCCCCCCCCCCGCGAAAATTCCTGGATCCGCCCCTGCAACAGTAGCGTAAATCTGTGCTGGGGACTTGGGGATGGGGGATAGCCAAAAAAAAGAGTCCTGGCCGTGAAATACAAACGGGGGGGGGGGCTTGCTGGAGACCACATAACACTGGGGGCGCTGTTCATGATACAGACGTCCCAGCGCATTTCAAGCTATTTATATTTTTTTCTCCCTTTCTCAGTACTATTTAATACATTTCGGCGGTTGGAAAGTTTGAAAAATACCTCAAAATCTGCCCTTTTTCTCTATATACAAAATAATGGGGACAGTGGTGATCAACTAGCCCAGACCCCCCTCCCTGGTCAAAAAGTGGGGCGGGATAATCGGACATAAAACAAACATTTGTGTACACCTTTTCCCCCATACTGATACATTATCGGTTGATTTTTGATACATTATCGGTTGATACAGTATCCGTTCCGTGGTGATACATTATCGGATACAGTTATTTTGCAGATACATTATCCGTCGACACGTGATACATTATCGGATACAAATTTTACTACACTATCAGTCAATTTTTGGTACATTATCGGTTAGTGATACAATATCGGTCAATTTGTGATACATTATCGGTTGGTGATACGTTATCCGTTGGTTACTACATTATCAGTTGTAACACAGGTCATCGCGTACCAGATTGTATGAAATGACTCCACAAGGAAAAAAAATCCAGTATGAATGAACCCAAAGGGGTGCATACCTATGTTCCCCAATACCGATGTTCCCCGAAATCCTTACCCTTACCCTAACACCAACACTAACCAGTAACCCTAACACCAAGGATTTCGGAGAACATCGGTGTTGGGGAACATAGGTTCTGGGGAACATCGGGTAGACCCAAACCAAAGGTGTACCTGATTCCTTCCCCATAGCGGATGTCTCATGATGTTAACGACTGGACTGAAGCAACTCAGTCCGCAGTGGTCCCGATGGATCCCATGCTGTGTGAAGTTATTGTACTTGGCTCGAACTTCTTCGCTCGTTGCTGAAGCTAAGCTGTTTGCCAGATCAACACTGCAAAGGAGTTTAAACATCATTAATGCCTCTATTTAGAGCATTCACTTTCGAAAAAAATATTATTTGATAGATATCTTAAAGTAGATAGTATGATTGAACTAAATTAAGTTCCTTTTTATATTTGAAGTGTTGTTTCTCTCAAAGTACCTTCTCACATCACCACCCCCTCCCATCATTTTGGAGAAGGCCAAAATGAGCTTATATATGCTTTACTGGTAAATCAAATCGCGTGTCCCTAAAGAAAATGAGCACTTCAACTTCACACCTGAAAGACGCCGCGATCCCTATGGCCTGCGGGAAGGAGGTTGCATTTCCCGCTTGCACATCCCCGCGCAGGCACTCCGTGTTCCAGTTGTAAGGGCCGATGCCCAGCCGAGGGATCGGAGGCGTCGGGCCGTTGGGACCCGCTCCACCGCGGGCCAACTGGAGGACGATGTCATCCAGCTCTAGTCGGGAGATCAGGTCGGCAAGTCGCTCCTCCCACGGAAGGGAGAAATTCTGGAAAGGAAACTCCGTCGACGACGCCAATAGTGCGTTCGTCGACAACAATAGGGAAAGCAGCGATATTAACAAATATTTCGCTGCCATTCTGCGGGAAAACTATTTAACACCAACGATGTGCATTTTCGGTGCAAGCTTAAAACTTTAGTCTTTGACCTGGTATGGTACACACAGTTTGGAGGGTTTTTTTCCACGCTGAGAGTCACCTTAACATGACAGTAAATAGATTCGAGTAACCGGACTTTGGGTCCCGAGTGACAGATTCGTCATATCTGATTGTCAATTTATATTCTCATGCCTCTGATTTGTTGTACAACTATTCTGGTGTTTTATAAAAACATGACAATTAACAGTGAAAAAAAGGAACAAGACTTCACTTTATGCGGTTTTTATTAACTAAGCAATTACGCTATGATGTGTATACTTATTCAAAGCCTTATCTTGCATACTTTTCAGCTGTGCACGGCAATACAGACCTGTAAAGAAAAGGCAACTATCCGCATTTGACACCCTATTAGAGACGCAGGTGAAGTACTTCTTGCTCGGCACACACTCAAGTCATACACAACACAAAGTTTATTGTCATACACAGCAACAAGTAAGTTCAAACAATTTTAATTACCAGGCTTATTTTACGGTATATGTAATCAGCATGCATAAACGGTCAAAGTTTAACGGTCTAACAGTCTGTCGATGCTAACCAAAAACAAACACTTCAAACCAAAAATAGTAGCAATCATGGGGAACCGATGGGGAGAAAAATCAGGCAGGATCAACCGAATATTTTGGTGTATTCGTGCTGAAAGAACGCAACTTGTGCGCATAGCCATTTTGTGAGCAACTTTTCCCAGCATCTACGAACCCAAAACGTCAAACACGTCAGCGTACCTGTGTAATTTATAAACAATACCCCCCCCCCCCCCCAATCCATACATTTCTGAAAATTACAGCAAAAGCAAATGTTGTACAGCGGGTTTTAGAATATGCGTTCAATTTCTCTGGAGGCGTGAGAGAACGAGTTTTTTCAACTGTGATCGAAAATGTTGGTACTGCAAGCAATAAACGATCGGGTTGACCAACATGTTGCAACCTACAAGTGGGGAAAATATCTCATATAACAACAATTTCGTTCTCTTGTCAAATAATATCAAGTTTTGAAAGTAATAGATCTGCGCGGGCGTCCAACACAAGACGAACATGATGCTTATTATCAGCGTAGTGCTGATGAGATTATTCTTAGCTTTGCTTATTACATTCGGAGCACCATTCACTGGATTAACACATTTCTTGGTTAGCATGATGAGAATCCGTGTGTACGAAAATGTAATGACAGTGATAGGTACCAGGTACTGGATTGCAAAGGGTACTGTGTATACAAAGTAATCCCATCCAGATTTGAGATTCACCATCTGACAATGCCCCTGGTGAGGTTCAGTGAAAAATAAAACGGGCACGCCATCAATGCAGCCTACAATCCAGGCAGTGGTGACGACAATCTTCAGCTTTGATTTGGTCCATGTGTTGCGATGTTTCACCGGGTAACAAATCGCCATAAACCGCTCAACCGATATGATGACATGGTTGTACGTGGATGTAACACAGACGCACCAAAGCGCGAAATCTGAATACATGAGGCGACAAACAAGTTGGTCATTGATGCTTCTCTCCATGGATACTGAAATGCGTTGAGTATTGATAACGACATGGAGGAAGAAGAACAGGATTCCAGCAATCGAGTCAATGATGGACTGGTGCAGGATGAGACGATTTGTGAAGGAGCTGAACACTCGTCGTCTGAGCAGCATAACGGTGATGACCATGCCGTTACCAAGCACAGCCAGGCAGGCGAGGATTGTATTGACTGCATCCAGCAGACGTCTTAGTGGCCGTGGCTCTGGAAACCAAGCATCGTTTGTGCCGTTCCCTAAGTCGATGCCAAACAACACTTCCTGCTGCCCACTTGAAGACATGATCGCACACTTTCTGGAACAGAAACCTAAATAGGATGTTTGTCAATTTCCGATACGACATTTGTTTTTATTCTGATCCTTATCATTATGTTGAACCTTCTGAAGCAGTTATCGTCGTGCATCTGGGTGGCCTGCATGTTGTCATCAATATCTGTTGTCTCTTCCTTTATATCTACCCATAATCATTAACCAACTGTTAAATAGCATAATTGGTCCATCAATATTAATTTTGAAAAGCCCATGTCGTTAATTTTCATGGCGCTCTCTCCTATCTGGGCTGGATTGAGTGTTCCGTAGGCCCTAGGCACCAATGTTCCGTAGGCCCTATTCCACACTAGGCACCAGCACAAATGTCATGTTGTTTGGTAAGCTGTACTATGTTTCGTAGGCACTCATTTTTTTCATAGGCCCCGAATGTTTCGTAGGCCCTAGGTACAGTGCCTACCGTGCCTATTGGATAATCCGGGCCTGCATGGCTCCTATACAGACCAGTAATGAAGGCAGTTTGATTGACTACGAAAAGCAATTTCCCAGAGATAGCCATGCTTAGAGCGGTGATAAGATTAAGTGCATTTGTACTTTAAAGCGCAGGAAATAATTAAGCAGCATGCCGGACTCTGAAGCCAGGCCGGCAAAGAGTGTGTCTAAGATCGTAAGAGTGCATTTATATCATTTCTGCGGGAAGAGTATTAAACACCAATTTATATCCATCATTGGCAATTGACTCCTCGCCGACTGAACTCGACTTGCAGTAATGATGAAAATAGAACATGCAAGTGACGTGAAGAAACAAATGTCTTACTGCTGAACATCTTCCATGACACATTATGCGATCAAATAAGTCTTAAGAAGCTAGATGCAGGTGCAGATAAACGATCGTTGTCATAAGTAAGATTTGAGGCTTTGCATGGTGGAGATACTAAATAATGAAAGGTTTGCAGAAACACCATGTGCGAATAATTTCTCAACTAAGAGAAACTCGACGTTCCGGTCAGCGTGCTCTGACCGTCTTCTTGAGAGTGCCTAAGCTCTAAGAAAATAACACTTAAGTAGAAGAAGCGGAACCGATGAAGTGTGAAGTTGCATCCTGTGTGTGGATGATCTGGCCCCCACTCCTCCAGACTGATGGGTCTCCTATTCCCTAGGTCCTCAACCTTCACCTTAGACTGTATGGGTCTCCTATACCCTAGGTCCTCCCTCTACTGAGACTCCAACCCCACTGTTCCACTTCAGTGGGCACCAAGCTTGCTCTAGGCTCCCAGCTACTTGGCATCCACACAGGATGCAACCTCACACTTCATCGATTTCGCTTCTGCTACTTAAGTGTTACTTTCTTAAAGTTTAGGCACTCTCCTGAAGACGGTCAGAGCATACTGACTGAAACGTCGAGTTTACCTCTGGTTCTTTTCAGAACCATTCTCTTAGTTGAGAAATTAAAAAACCTTTCACTATGTGATCATTGTCATATTTTTGTCATGGAAATTTTATAATAGGGATGGAAATTATATTGAACAAACTCTCATCGTATACGTGATGCACATACAGTAGCTAATGTTTTTTAATGACTGGTGCAGTTTAAACAAAAAAAGGAGCAAAAATCGCGCCGAACCAGATTTTCCAGAATACAGGGTGGCAAAAAAAGTGATCGAAATAGAAAAAAAAATAATAAGTGGCTCTCTCCATTTGCATAAGAATAATTAGGGATAAATTACATGTTATCGACTAGTAACTGTGAACATTTCACATAATTTGCATACTCTATTTCCAAACCTGTCACTATTGTGATAAAGAGATTACACATTTCAGCTGTCCACCACTGATTAAGCACCGTTCTACGAACTGACGAATATCCATTAAATACAATGAAACACGAACGTTTTTGCACCTCCGTGAATAAACGAAAACTTGCAAAGGAAACTGACAACAAAATCCTCATCAAGTTTTCAGGCAAAAAAAGAGCTGACTTGTTCCTCACATTCAAAACACAAAATCTGACAGTAAAAATAATGCTTCAGTCTTGACTCAAATGATTAATATCTCAAAAATGTTTTTTGAGTGGCTGCGTATAATCTGTAATTCTCACTCAAGTCAATAGCTTTCAATTGCATTCCATGTACAGCTTTACAAATAGTTTCTTTACATGCATAACTTCTGATAGCATGGATCAAATTCAGTTTTCAGATGAGTGGAGCAACATGCTCTTTTATGACAAGTTTATTAGTATACATCAAATTTGATTGCTTTTTAAGAAAAATCTTTTATCAAGGTCATTTTCTTTTTTACTCACCCTGTATGACAATTATTAGGTTCGAATGAAACAATTGGGAGTGAATGCACCCTGAAAGATCGGCTGTTGCAGTCATTGAAATGGCTCCTGAAGTTCATGAAGTAGAAAAATCGGTACGTAAGATTCGCCCGTCTGAATAACAATTGATTTGAGTTGACGTCCACGTAGATGCGTCGGATGCGGATGGAGTGACTCAAAGAACGCTGGTCTGAAACGGATCTTTTCCGATGTAAAAACAGGGTCTCACTACCTCTGTGTTCAAACAGAGATGGCTTGCCCGTCCTCTAAGCGGTTTCGACGGCACCTCTTGAGTACTATAGTTTTCTCAACTCTGAGCGAAACTGCTCGTACTTGATGCAGTCAAATGTCCGGGTTGACGAACATGTCGCAGACCAACAAGCTTGTAAACTGATAGTACAAAAGAAGGCTCCAATCTTTGGAAAATAGTTCGCAAAGGTAAAACACCTCTGTTGGTGTCCGGCACACCACAGACATTATGCCTATCAGTATAGTAACGAGGACGTTCTTCGTAGCTTTGTTCATAACATTCCGAGCACCGTTCATTGGATTAACAAACTAAGGTGTAAGATGAGACGATTTGTGAAGGAGCTGAACATCTTCGTCTGAGCAGCATAACGGTGATGACCATGCCGTTACCGAGCACGGCCAGGCAGGGGATGATTGCGCACACGGTATCCAGTAGAGGGTTTGGTGTCAGTGCCCAGTCGTCTTTCGTGCTGTTTCCAAATTGTGCCATCATTCCTACAAATTATCAAAGGATGCTCGATGTCTGGTTAATGTTTTAGCCAACAATTGTGAGCTTCAAATATGTTTCCACAAATGAAATTGACTCTTTTCACCCGTGGAGCTCAATCGTTGGCGAAAGATACATTTCTATATTCATCAAAGTCAGTCACTTCAGCGTTTTTAACTTGTTGAATATGTGTGAAACGCACGTTAAATGTCATTCTGCGATTGCGTACAAATAAGGCTGGCCCTGTATTACCATGCACATTCATTTTAAATGAAGCATCAACAAAGCGCAACTAAATTATCCATGAGACACATCTAAAAACGCTGATCAGTCAGACAATGTGGTGGCACGGGTGGCTTGTGCGTAAAGCGCTCGCCTCTCACCAAGGTGACCACGGTTCGAATCCTGGCCGCGGATCGCATGTGAGTAGAGTTGTGCGTTGGTTCTCTCCTGTGCCACGAGGGTTTTTCTCCGGGCCCTCCGGTTTTCCTCCCTCCGGAAAAATCAAACACTTTCGATCTCAGGCTGTGCTCCGTGGTCTTATATGGGTCAATGTGGCCGGCAGCCAGAGGCGCCTTTACGTGCCAGCGGCCCGACCACGTTGTAGCCGCGTCCTTCGCAATTCAGCATCCGAGCTGCGAGTAAGGATGATTAGCCTCCCAAATTATTATTATTATTATTATTACAATATTTGTGGCGGAGATAAATAATGTAGAAGTTTTGCTTTTCAGTTACCATAGAGATGCACTCGCTCCCTACGTAGCAAGAAAATTGATTTTGCATTTAATACGCATGCATGCGCTTATAGCCAAGCTTGTCACCAAGTCCGTTTAAGATCGGCGTGGGGCCTGATCGCCAATAATATCCCTCGCCTTCAGCTCGGGCCATTATCGGGGTCTGTTCCCCACGCCGGTCTTAAACGGATTTGTTTGAAACCGGTCAAGCACATATTTATTCCCTTAAATAAGCCTATTCATTGGAACTTTTTTTCCATCGATCTTGTGTACACAATGTGCCGGTATAGTACAGGGTAATCATAATACAAAAGTATTGCCGTAGCTCTCTTCACCACCAGACAAAAACCAGGCTACGAAGCGAATACAATTATTGGCAGATAAAATGCGTGTAGTTCATTACGAACGTGTAAACAAGGGGGCCAAAAGTGTCTGGAAACAGCTGTTGGTCAGTCAAATAAAATGCTCCCAAGAGAGAGAAAAAAAACCAACTGTTAACTTTAAATTATTCAATAAACTGATTATGTAGGGCTCTACACCTTAATCATCTCCGACAACAAAAGAATTTCCCCTAAAAATTGAAGAATAATTTAAAAAAACAAAACCTATCCAGGGCAAACATGTACAGCAAACACATAAGACTATATTTCTTTACGTAAAAGGCACTAAATTAAAGGTTTCATGAGCTTTTGTGATCCAGATGATTGACACAATTGATGGCAACTCTTAGAATGGGACTGACGTCAATATTAACAATTTTACAGACTACTACATTCATTCATTCATTAAATGGTTTCTAAATCAATCATGACTCGCAGCTAAGGGCTGAATTGAACATGATTTACAGTGTTTGGAACAAAGTAGTAATCCGATTAAAAAAAATAGGAACATTAAAATATTACAAAAAGTACCAGATAGTAATGCCATTAAAATATATATATTAACATTAAAATATTAATAAGTACCAGATAAAACTGACCAAAAAAACCCCCCGAATACACGACAAAAACAAATTTACACAAGAAAACTGTTCAGAACATATAATGAATGAACTATGGCATCAACTGCCATTAAAAAGTAACAAAAAAAGTAGGTGTGTGGGAATTAGAGTTAATTAGGAACTATTGAGAAAGCAGATCAGGTGAGGCAAAATCATGACATTGATATAAAACCAAAATTTCCAAACAAAACTGCCATCACACCATCATGTGACAATAAAAAAATATAAAAAATATAGATATATACACATGGTGAAATCTCAACATAAAATTTAAAAAATGCTTCCATTACAGTGATATGACTGCTTCATTTGTGTTCATTCTCCGGGCAGCGGCTGGCGCTGGAATGGCATCCCCGTCCTCCACTCGGTTTCTACGACACCTCCCGATGACCAGGTTTCTCAACTCCGACCGAAAATGATCGTACTTGAAGCAGTAAATGATCGGGTTGACCAACATGTTGCAGGCCAACAAGCTGGTAATCAGGGAGTAAAACAAAATGTCCCAATCCCCGGAAAATAGTTGGCAAATATACAAGATTTCCGATGGTGTCCAGAACACTGTAAACAAAACACCTATCAGCAGCGTTGTAACGAGGACGTTCTTCTTAGCTTTATTCATGACATTCCGAGGACCGTTCATTGGATTAGCAGATTTCTTGGTGAGCGTGATGATTATCTGGCTGTATGTATAGATCAGAATGGTCATGGGCACCAAGTATTCGATAGTAATCACCGCTGAAGCTTCGAAAATCTTCAAACTGGTTACCAGTTCTGTCGGTCGGCAATGCCCCTGATGGGGTTCAGCTATAAACACAAAGTGGGCGCTGTAGATGAAGCCGGTAGCCCATGCGATGCCCACTGCAAACTTCAGCTTGGCTGCGGACCAGGTATTGCGATGCTTCACCGGGTGGCAAGTCGCCATAAACCGCTCCAGCGATATCATGACAAGATTGTACGTGGATGTCACATTGACCCACCAAAGCGCGAAACCCGAATACAAAAAGCGACAGACTAGTTGATCCTTTAAGGTATCCTCGATGGATACTGAAATATGTTTAGCATTTATAACGACCAGGTGTAAGAAAAACATGACTCCAGCAAGGCAGTCAATGATAGACTGGTGTAAGATGAGACGATTGGTGAAGGAGCAGAACACTTGTCGTCTGAGCAGAATAACAGTGATGACCATGCCGTTACCAAGCACAGCCAGGCAGGCGATGAGTGTGTAGACTGCAGCCAGATGAGGGCTCAGGGGATCCAGTAACCAGTCGGCATTTGTGTTATTTCTAAAACTTGCCATAATTTCCTGAAGATTGATCGAAGTCAAGATCTCACAAAGATCGTATATCGTATCGCTGCAGTAGTTGTACGCTTTTGGTGAACTAAACAAATTCTGTTTGTAGTATAAGACTGTTTTATTATGCCCGTTAAGGCTATACAATTAATAAAGTCACGAATTTAGAAATGTTAATAAGTATTTACCGATCTATGCATTTCACCACAACAAACCAAACCTGTGATGGCTCAGCTCGAATTAGCTACAAACAGTAGGCTTTGCTCATTTGCAGCGAGGACAGTAGATACATGAATCATTAATGAGATATCTTCGGAAATGATTGTCAAAGTCAAATACATGGCTCGTCTATTATACGCGATCTTTGAGATTGGACAAGCCTCAATCACAAGTCAATATCATTCTGCGATTATGAGCAACCCAGGCAGACCGGCCTTCAAATAAGACAATAAGCCGGTCGTTTAATTGAAGCTCAACATCAAACAGAGAGCTTAACATTACATTAGAAGCTGTGATCGTCTGACTTGATTGTTGTGCTGACAATGCGGTTTTTAGTTACCTTGGAGATACATCCGCTCCTGCTTCGTCCATGGAAAAAATAATCAACCCTTTTAAGGTATACGTTCGTACGGAGATCGCTGAATTTAAACATATTGAGTGTCTGGGTTACAAGAAATCCACGTAATGCCTGACACTCACGGAGAAAATGTGAAAACATTATGTCTGGATAAAATCTGTTTGCCTTGCATATACGTATTTCCAGCAGGGATTATAGTGCTCAAATTATGGAGCACAACTCCAACGAGCGCCGCACGTAATACATATCGAAATCAGGTCCCACAATAATGAGGCACGCGAATTTGAAGCAACGTTTTCCGGGGAAAACACGAGTGACTTGAATCAAGACAAGCATTCACACAGCTCGATTTTGGCGGACCAAAATTGTGTACCAAGACATTTCTCCATATCGTCGCAGAGCTGACAAACCGGCGAATCGACCATTTTGGCGATTTCGATTTTTTGTTGTTTTTAGGCTTTATGAAGGTTGCTCTTTCAAGTATTTATGCCAAAATTATTAATATTTGTCTGGATTTTGAGATTCAGAGCCCCCCTTGTGGCGAATCACTCACAAAAACAAATCCATAATTTGACATAGTGACGAATACGAAATTTCGCTGGTAACCAGCTTATGTAAGGTGTGCGTTCCAAGTACCAACGAATGTTATTCGTCAGTTTGTTGGATTGCGCGTGCGTGCACGCGCGATCCGACGAACTGACGAATAGCATACAAACATTTCGCTGGTAACCAACTTATGTAAGGTGTGCGTTCAAAGTACCAACGAATGTTATTCGTCAGTTTGTCGGATTGCGCGTGCGTGCACGCGCGATCCGACAAACTGACGAATAGCATACAAACAGTGTGAAGAACAACCGGATATTGCAGATTAATGTAATTTGACAAACTGACGAATGCGTTTACGATCAAATAAAATCATATCGCACAACTTCTCTGATTAAATAAGTGACCTGGTGGATACTTAGTTTCATATTTTATTCAGAATATATACTAACAGTATTTTTATCGAAACATTAAGGGTAAAATACGGCGCCCGGAGAAGTGTCCAACTTCAAACGCGAATTACTCCAAACAAGGTTTTTGCTTATTCGTCGGTTTGTCAGCTCTGCGACGATATGTTTGATAGTTTAACGAAAGCTGCAAATTGGTATGGTACAGAACTGTAGCGTTTACATTCTAGTTTTTCATGATCTTCCCAACTGTTTTGATTTGGTTGGAAATGCGCCATCACGTCGAACGTGCTCCTTTAAGCCATGTTCCAACGTTCACTATTATTAGAAAACTCATAAACCCTGCGGGAAGAGAGTATATGACAAGCTGTTTTAATAGAAGCCATTTTTCGACAGTGGCTTGTCGTGTGGTTACAACAGTGCCTTTTTCTCATTAACGTCACATCAAGCCATCGTGTTTTTCATTAAGGCGAGCAAATGTAGCGTAAATTATTTCTTTTAGGGTAAAAGCTCTGGAGGTAACGGCTTCACCGATCAGCATGAAATTTGCGGGCTTTTATAGATATAATTGTCGGTGTAATCATAACATTGGGTTATTTTATTGAAAAGATATGAAAATATGCAATATGTTTTATTTGACCAAATCTATTATTTGATAGTCACGTTAACTTGATCTACGATGCATGCTTAGAGCTTAATGGCTGCCATATCTTGCACGAAAAAGCCGCTTTAAATGTGCACGCTTCGGCATCTTTTCTTTGTTGTTGGAGACTATCTGATAATTCTTGTGTTATATTAACAAATGCATATACCTCATAATATTGACTCCTCATTTGAGCTGATTTTCATAACGAAAATGCACTTTAAATTGATGAAAAAAATCACAGAAATCACAACAGGTTTATCGCCCCCGGCCCCACGTTGAGTTTTAATGCCAAATGTAGAAAAGGATGTATCATAACTACCAAAAGATGCATACCATATCTAAAGGAGGTGAATGGAAAATGAAGGAAATACGCTGAAAAGTATATTCTAGCTTAAAAGTATATATGACGACGCGTCCACTAAGGCCCTACGGTTAAAGTAGTGCTATCCAGGACGGGGTTAGGTTCAGTCAGACATTTTGTGACATGGTCGTTAACATTGCACAGTTATGTCTGTCCGTAAGTGTGTCTTATAAGCGGTCAACGTAATTAAAAATCGGAACCCATTCGTCGGAAATTATTAATATATGTTGTACGTCCGATTTATCATGAAATTGGTGGCTAAACCTCTGCAATACACCAATGCACAGACTCATGAAGGCTCGGTATGAATCAAGTTACCTGGTATCAAAAAATATACATGAAGAATAATTGGGAAAGTGCTATAGACATTGTGCGGGCCGTAGACCTACAGCAGGTTGTAGGAGATGCCACCGGTTTCTTTGGAGACCTACGAGCACGAGGTCCTTCAATTGTGATAGTAAACGACGGACATTGTAGCAATAAATGATCGGGTTGACGAATACGTTGCGAGCTACAAGTGAGACGGATACACGTACTTAATAGAGTGAAATTTCTCCTTCTGTCCAAATTCAATTGGTGAAATTGACCGATTTGTGTTAGTGCCAACTGCACAAGACAAACATGATGCTTATTATCAGTGTAGTGCTGATGCGATTCTTCTTAGCTTTGCTCATAATATTCGGAGCGCCGTTCACTCGACTAGCAAGTTTCTTGGTTAGCACGATGATAATCCGTTTAGTAGGCAAATAACTTACCATTGTTTTTGTTAAAGCTCGAGTCTATCATTTGCAGCTATCCAAAAAAGTAACTGGAGTAATTATTGTTGAAAAATATACTGGTTGAAAGTTAGTATGGAGACTAAACTCCCTGTAAAATTATTCTTTCTGGCAAGCTCTCATTTTGAAGAAATCAACGAAAGAAGGCATTTTCAACGGTGCGTCTTAAGAAGCACCGTAGTAAAATTTAAATTAGTAGTAGGTTTTGTTATTCGGCGCAGCGCTCGCAAGCATTAGCACGACGCACAGGCGCGCGCGGTTGCTATAATTCGTCGGATCAGTGCGCGACATTGCGTAAAGCTGCAATTCAAAACAATTTAAAACATGATTTAGCAACTTTTGATTTGAAATTGAGATCCTAGAATGCTGTTTTTCTCGGAATATACAGCTGAAGCTGAGCTGAAACTTCATCAGGTTAGTTGTTCAGTATCCTTCGTTAGATTTTGAACATTTTTGTTGCTTCAAACGAACAAAATGCACACATTACAAATGTTAGACTATGTCTTTAAGATTTGTTTTTCCCTTTTCAGACTCCTGTTCATAGCGTTTGTACACGTTTTCATCGGACATGGCACTTTGGCCATTGGGCACTTACATCAATCCGATTGCCTTTATACTTGGCACACACATATACCAGCACCTGCAGATGAGTGCCGAACATTGACGTCTTCATGACGTCATCACGTGTCACGTGACGTCACACTAAGACGTCCGATTAGGTTGAAACTTGGTGTGTGTGTGTCTGGACGGGATGTGCTATAGATAAAAATTGAAGTGACGTCAGGGTGACGTCATCACATGACATTTGACGTCACTTCAAAAGTAAACTAAAGGCCTATATATACAGAATTATACGTCCGATTTGGTTGCAACTTGGTATGTACCTTAACTCGGATGTGTTATACATGAAAATAAAAAGACGTTATAATGACGTCATCAGATGTCATTTGATGTCTTACATGACATATGCGATATTTACATAATTAAATGTCCAATTTGGTTGTAACTTGGTATGTACCTGGACGAAAATTGAACTGACTTCATGATAATGTCATCACATGCCCTGTGACGTCATATTACAGGTACATTTTCAAAGGCCTATTTCTATACATGACTATGTGCAATTTGTTTCTAAAGGGTCAATTTTCAAAATCCCGCTGAATTTGGTGCCTTGTGTCACTGATACACCATTGTTGCATTTTAACAGTGTGCTATCTTCAGAACTACACGTGAATCTAAAAAGGGTACTGAACAACTAACCTGATGAACTTTCAGGTCAGCTGCAGCTGTATATTCCGAGAAAAACAGCATTCTAATCAAAAGTTGCTGAAGCATGTTTTGAATTGGGCCTTAATTCAGCGTCGCTAGACACGTTCTCACTGAGCCGATTGCAGCTACGCGATGTCGCGCACTGATCCGACGAATTATAGCAACGGCGCGCGCGTGTGCGTCGTGTCAATGCTTGCACGTGCTTCGCCGAATCACAAAACGAACTAATAGTTTAAATTTCCTACGGTGCGTCTTAAGAAGCACCGTTGGAAAGGCCTCATTTCGTTGATTATCAAAATGACAGCTTGCCAGAAAGAATAATTTAATAAGGAGTTTAGTCCCCTTACTATCTTTCAACCAAGTATGTTTTTCAACAATGATCACGCCAGTTACTTTTCGGATAGCTGCAAATGATGGACTATAGCTT